GCCTTAATCATGAACTTAAACCTATTCCTAGCTATAACACTTGCACTAACCCTAAACCTAACCCCAGTACCAGCCCAAATGGAAGCTATTCCTATACTTAGTACTAACCCTAACAATAGCACTAGCCATAAACCACCCCTAAAATCAAATCAAACCCTGTCACCATACAGAACTCTAACCCTAGCCCTAACTCTAACACTACATTAACCCTAAACCTAACCTTATCCCTGACCATAGCAAACCCTAGCCTTGACCCAGCCTTACCTATTGTCCAAAACATAATTCTGGCCCTAACCCTATCCCTAACTTTAAATCTAACACTAAACTTAACTACAACATAAACCTAACCATAACCCAAATCCTCATCCTACAATAAATCTTAACATTACATCTGAACATAACCATAGCATTAGCCCTAGCACAAAACATAACACTAACTCTAGCCATAACCTTAAACCTAACCCTGACCCTAGTTCTAACAGTAACCCTAAACCTCACAGTAATCATAACCATAACTGTAACCTTAAACATTGCCCTAGCCCTATCTATAACACTACCCTATGCCAAACCATAACTCAAAGCCTAGCATTTCCCTCAGACCTTTCCCTGCCCTTAACTTTACCCATGCCTACCACTAACCCTAACCCTAACCCAAAAGCTAACACAAACCTGAAGTTTAATCCTAACCATAATATTCAAGACTTAGAAATAACCATAGCCATAATCTTAATTTTAAACCCAACCATTGCCCTTCACCTCACTCTAACCTTATCCAAAGCACTGACCTTAGCAGTAACCCTAAACATAACCCTAAACCATACCCTAGCCATAAGCATGACCCTATGAAAAACTATCCATAACTTTAGTCCTAAACCTATCCCTAATTAGAAACTAACCACAGACAAAGTATCACCCGCAACCCTAATCCTAATGCAAACCGTAATCCTGCCTAAACACTAACCCATATCTATAATCCCAATCCTTGAGCTAATCCTAGCCATAGACCTAGCCCTAGCCTTAAACTAAACCTACCCTCCAAAACAAACTCTTAGCCCAAATATAACCTAAATAGTCAGGAATACCATAGCTACAGTCCAGGACTTAATCTTACCTCAAATCCCTAATTTTAAGAAAATCTAAGCCTAACCCTATCCTTCCCAAACCCAAATTGTAGTCTAGTATACAGTACCCTAACAGTAACACTCACTCAACCCCTAGTCTTAGCTCTATCCATATCACTAACATTAACGTAAACCCTAACACTAATCCTAGGTCTAGTTCTACCACTAGTCCTAGTCTTAGATCTAACCATAAACAAAGCAATAAATTAGCCCGAGCACTATCTCTATACCAAACCCTAACCCTAAGCCAAGAACTAGCTTAGCCACAGTCCTAGCCCTAAAAATAAATTTAAGCTAAATAAACTAACCCTAAGACAAACCATAACCCTAACCTTAACTCTAGCACTAGCTGGTGCTGTAACCCTAGGACTAATCCTGTATCTATCCCTAACCCTAACACTGAACTTGACCACAGCCCTAAATCTATACCTTATCTTAGTCCTAACAATAACTCTAAACAAAACCTTAAACCTGACCCTAACATTAAACCTAAACCTAACACTAACTTTAGCCCTAACCCTAAACCTAACCCTTACCCCAACCTTAGCTCTAGCCTTAGCAAGAACCTTATTCTTAACACTAATTCTAATCCTAACCATAACCTTAATCCAAACCATAACAATAAAAAACCCCTACCCTAGACCTAACCTATCCTCTACCTAACACTAAGATTATCCCTAGACTTAACCTTAGTCATAATCCTAGCCTTGAACCTAGCACTATCCCCAAAGTAGTACACTAACTTAACCATAATCTTAAATCTAAATCTAACTCTAAATCTAGTCCTAACCTAGACCTATAAGAAGCCTTAGCCCTAAATTGGGGTACAACCCTAAAACTAGCTCTTGTATTAGTCCTAGCCCTAACTATAACTCCAAACCTAACACTAGTCCAAATACAAGCCTAACCACTGCCCTAACAAAATGACTAATCCTAACCCTATACCTAACCTCAAAGGTAGCCCTACTCCTAAACCTACCACTAGAACTAACCACCACCTTAAACTTAACTATATTCCTAAACCTAAGTGGAGTTCTAGCCACAACCCGAATCCTACGTGTAAACCCCAGCTCTAAAGTTCACTCCAATCCTAGTACACCTTGTTCTAAGCCTAAAACTAAACCTGTAAATTAATTGCTCTACACTTAGCCCTTACCATAACCCTAACCTAACATTAACCCTAGTCCTAGCCCTAATCCTAAAACTAGCTATAAACTTAAGGCTATCTCCAATCCTAACCTAACCCTATCACTAGCCCTAGCACTATTACTAAAGGAAACACTGCCTAAGAGATCCTAACCCTAACCTTAAACATACACCTAACAACAGAGTATCACTTGCATTAACACTACCCTAACTGCCTAGATCTAACCCTAAGCATGACACTAACCCTAAACCTAACAATAGCCTAGACATACACTTACTTTAGCCCTAAACTTAAATCTAATCTTAAATCCGGCCATAATCCTAATCATAACCCTAGCCCTACACCTAACAGTAACCTTAGAACTAACTCTAGACCTAAACTTGACCATAAGCCTCAGCAAAGCCCTAACCCTAACAGTAGCCTTACCCTAACCATAACAGTATCCCTACAACTAACACTCTCTCTAATCATATCCCCCTACTCTAGCCCTAACACTAAGCCTTACTTACCCTAATTCTAACCACAATGTAAAAGTAACCTAATACATAAACCTAATCATAAACCCTAACCATACATAAAACCTAACACTTAAACAAGCCCTCTCCCTAATCTAAGCCCTAACAATAACCCTAACTATAGACAACACTAGAGTTAACACTAGAATTAACCCTAACCATATCCCTAAACCTAAATGTAACTCTGATCTTAGTCTAACACTAAAATTTACCCTACCCCTAAATCTAAAACTAACTAAATCATATCCCTAACCCTAGCTCTAGTGCTCATGCAAGCACTAGCCCTACCACTAGCCAGAGTCCTAACCTTATGCCTCTCTCCAAACATAACCATAGCCGTAGCCATAACACAAATCCTAACCACAGCACTAGCACTAAACCCAATCCTAATCCTAACCCTTACCTAAAACTAGCCATAGCCCTAATACTTAACTTAATCTTAACACTACTCCAAAACATAACCCCAACCCAGAACCCTAAACCCAAACCTTACCTTAATCCTAAACTTAACACAAACCCTACACATAAAAATATCAATCTAGCTCAATCTAGGTACAGAGTATCTACCTTTAACAGTATCCAAACAGCAGCCAGAGCCCTAACATTCTAACCCAGGCATTAGCCATAAACCTAAACCTAAACTTTACTCTAACCCTACCTCTAGCCAAAACACAAACTCTGCACTGCATTGACCAATAACCTGAACCCAAACCCTAAACATAACATTTAAGAACACCAAAAAACTAAACGTCTCCTAACACAAACTGTAACCCAAACCCTAACTAAAACCCTAGATTTAGTTAAACCCCCAAGCCTAGACCTTTCTATAACAGTAGCCGTGGAATCCTACACCAAACCCTAGCCCTAAACCTAAACCTTAACCTATCCCTAACCCAAAACCTAACCTAAACCCTAAACCTAACCCGAGTCCTAACTCTCAATCTTGCATTACCCTAACGCTAAACCAAACCTAAATCTAACAGGAAAGTTAACCTTAATCCTAAATCCTAACAATCACACAAACTCTAACAGTTAAACAAGCTTTCACTCTAATACTAGGCTAATTCAAACCCTAAACATAACCTTAGTCCTAACTCTATCCCTAAACTTAAATGTAAACCTAGACATAACATGTAACACTAACTCTAATCCTAGCCCAAACACTAAAGGCAAACCTAGTCTAGTTCTATCTAGCCTAAGTGCTAACGCTAGCAATAGTTCTAATTTTAAACCTATTCTGAAATCTGGCCTATCCTGAAATCTGACAGGAGCCGTTGCCTTAACATTAACCTTAGCCCAAACCCAGTCCTCATCCTAATTCTAGCCTTAAACCTAAACGTAGCTACAGACCTAACACTCAGTATAACACTAAACCGAACCTTAAACCTAACCCTTACACAAACAAAAATGCTAGACCTAAACTGAATCATAACACTAACCCAAATCCCAACTGTAAACCTATCCCTAATTATAGCACTAGACCTAACTTGGTAATTTACCCTAACATTAACACTTACCCTATTCCTAACCTAGCCCTCCCCTAAACGTAATGACAAATTTAACCCTAGTCCTAAACCTACCCCAAACTCAGATGTAACCATATCAGCAGGCCTAGCACTAATCCTACACCTAACCTTAGCTAGCCATAAAACTATCCATAACACTTAGTCCATCCCTAGTTCTAAAACTAAAACTAATTCTAAATCTAGACTTACCCTAAACTTAACCAGAAACCTGACAAACCATAAGCCTAACCCTGAATCAATCCATAAACCTATGCATTGTCAAATCAGAAAGTAGCTCACCCAACATGTCACAGGTGCACTTTCTGCCCCTTCCCCAGTTCTCTTACTGTCTACCTCCAGCCCACACACAAGCATTTTGTACAACCAAAAGTTTGCCATGGCTATAGAACACATCGGACCCTTAATGAGTGCTGAGGCTTGGGAGGTCTCCTGGGCAAACACAAATGACTCATGGGCCAGGCTGCATCTCTATCCCAGTCCCCAAATCTTCTAGGACCTAGGGGGTTGGGCCATATCCACTGCACAAAAGGGAACTGAGGTTTTCATTTGAGAAACACTCCTTGGTCAATGCATTTTTAATACTGGAGCTGGGATTTGGGCCAGAAATTGGCTTTAGACCCGGGAATGGAATGTCTGGGGCAGCAGAGGACAGAAGGAACCTCACCCACACCTGCTCTGCCAAGCCACTCACCACAACCATCAGAGTGAACTGCTCTGCCATCAAGTCTGGAGGAGACACCAAGATGTAAGGCTTCTCCTCACTCAGCCTGTTCCTTGTTGCCACAGCTGAGGACCAGGAAGTCTCTCCTAATGAAACAGGTATCAGAGCTACCTGCAGCTCTAGAATCTGAGGGAAATTACCCCAATTCAGAAGCAAGCTCTCTAGCTGGTTGTGGTTCTAATCCTGGAAGTCGACCTGGTTCCTGTTTTGGAAGAGTTGGAGAGCTACCTCTGACTCAAATCTGGTTCATACTTTATTTCTAGACTTATTTCCGATGATGCCATTTGGCTGCATGCCAGAACCAGTGCAGGAGCTGTTTTAGATCTGGGGCAGGGGCTGGAGTTATTTAAGAGTCTAGAATTTGCTTGTGAGCTGTCACTTGCTCCAAAGTGTATACTAGAGCACATCCTGTCTCTAAATTTGCTGTCAGCTCTATCTACATGTGATGCTGGTACTGTCACTGGGCCAGGTCCAAAGAAAAGTGCTGTACCAGACTGAAGCACTGGAGCAGCTATTGGATCTGATCTTGAGGACTGTTTCAGACACTTGAAATTACTCTTGGTTCTGATCAGGTGCTAATGCTGATACTGTCTCCAAATCCGGTGCTGCTTTCTGCTCTAGACTTGATGCTGCTGTTAGTATTATATGTAAGAACTTGTGCTGGAACTGACTTTAGCTCTGCAGCAGGTGCTGGTCATGACTGAGTCTCTGTATTTGGCACCTTTATTGGCTGGTGCTATAAAAAGATGCAGCCTATAGCCCTAGGACAATCCCTGTCTCTATTCCTAACCCTAACTCCAACCTTGACCCTACCACAATCTGACCTTTAATTCCAGCCCTCTGCCTAATTTTAACTCTGGCTGAGACTCACTGATAAATCCAACCCTATCCCTAATGCTAACAGTAAAGCCAGACTTCACCTTAGAGCCAGCCCTAAATCTACCCTAACACTAGTGTAATCATACTCCTCACACTATCTGTAACTTTAACCCTATCACTAGAACTATCCCTAATCTAACACTATATTTAGCCCTAATGTTAACCTAGCTTAACCCTATCAAAACCCTTGTCCTATATTTAAACCTATCCTAAAACTGGTCCTAGACTTCACCCTAAACATAACTATATATCTTAGCCTACTGTTGCCTCTACCCTAAGCTACGGCCATAGCCATAAACTTAACTTTGAGCTAGCTAAAACAATAAACCTAATCTGAACCATAAGCATCACACTTGCCCTAGCCCTAATCATAACTGAAACTTACACTAACACTAACCAAAATGCTAAAGTAATGATAAAATGGGACTAGAATGAGTCATAACTCTAATGCTAGTCACAGCTAAGAGCCACAGTCCTGGACCACAATCTACCCCTAGACTTAATTATACCCCTGAATGTAGCCTTAATATTAACCTTAGCCATCAATGTATTCCTAGTCTAATACAACTATTGTCCTACTCCTGTTTTGAACTCTGACCAAATCCTAGATCTAGACCTAACCTTACCAGCCTTAACCTTGGTCCAAATACTTCACTCTAATGCTAAGCAGAGACAAAATTCTAACACAAAACTTAAAGGTAACACATGACCTAAATGAATTCCTAACCCTAACCATAAGAAATTTTTTCTATATAGAAGAGTTCTTATTTTGGACCAACACTCAATATTGCTATTATAGCATTTGTATTCTCTACAAGAAAGACATAGGCAACTACAGTTATAAAGTACACCCTATCTCTAACCATTCATTTAAAACTAAACTCTACGCTGCCCCTCCCCTAAAGCTAAGCTTAACTATAAACCTAGTCCTAACCTAAGACCATCTTTAACCATACCCTTAACCCTAATGCAAAGGATTTTCTCTATGTAGAATAGCTATTTTTCTTTTCTTTTTTATTAACATATTGTTGTACTGCAGATACAGTGTGACAATTACAAAAATTCTTGCAATGTATCATGCTGGAATTCACCCAGTCCATCATTCTCCTTGACAACCACACCCCCCATTCCTTGAACAGATTCAACAGGTCTCATATTTCCCCTTACATACATTATTATAATATTTCCACCACATTCACTCTCCCACACACATAGACTAGATCTTAATTGGGAGAAAAATTCATTTTGCTTCATGTGACAATTATGTGATCCATGGGAAAGAAGCATGTGGTTGCTCTTGTAAAAGGAACTTAAGGTTTAGAATGCTACTCAAGATCATATATCATATATCATACTCTGTGCCTCACAGAAATTCTATCAATTCTAAATAGATGTATACTGGAACAACTTTAATCCTTGCTTAAAGTCCACAATCAAATGTACCCTTAAATTGGGATCTAAACCTGGCATTATCCCAAATATCAACATAAACTAAACCTATTTATGATCCTAGCCACTGACTTAAAATTAACTCTAGTCCTACCCCTAACCTAGCCATAGACCTACCCATAGCCCTAGGCTTGAATGTAAAACAAACCCTAACTTTAGCCTTAGCCTGCAACCTAACCAATACCTTAACCCAAAACTAAAAATGGCCCCAACACTAGCTTTAACCTTACCCTAAACATAACCTTTACTATAACACTAACTAAACCCCTAACTCTAACCCTCTTTCTAGCCCTACCATTAAACATAGACCTAAGCTAACCCCAATACTCACCCTTAACCAGGACTTAATCATATTCTGGAACCTAATCCAAACCCTAATCATAGCACTAATTCTAGCCAATCCCCACTTCTTACCCTAACCCAAAATTTGCCCTATCTTTGACAAACTGCCTAAAGATACAACTGTAAACTCAAACTAAAATCAAACCCTTACCCTCACTGTAACCATAACAAAACAGACCACTAATCTGAGGCCTAACCCTAACAAGAACATTAACCTAACCCTATCCCTGGTCCAGGCAAAGCACTAGTGTTAATTCATATTCCACCCCTTGTCCAAAACTTAATCCTAGCAACTAGTCAATGACCTAACTTTCAGTCTAACTGTAATTAGCCAAAAAATAAACCTAACCATAACCAAAGTCCTTATCCAACAACTACCCTTAACAATAACCATAAACGTAGCCCTAACATTAGCCCTCGCCCTAAAACAACCCAAAACCTATCATAACCTTAGCCACTTCTGAAAACCTAACACTATGCTAATGTTAACACTAACGTTAGCTCTGACAGTAATAGCCAATATAAGCCTAAAGTTAACTCTGACCTGAAGGATAACCGTTACCCTAACAATAAACATAACCATAAGTTTAGCTGTCTCATTTTAAAACTAGCCTTAATTCTATCTAAATCTATTCCTAGCACTGACACTAAATCTAACCTAATCCTTGCACTAACCCTAGCCTAAGACCCCATGCAATGGCTAGCCCTAACCCTACCCTAACTAAAACCATTCATCTATTCTCAAATAAAAAATATCCCTAAAACTCACACTAACACTAGTCCTAGACCTAGCCCTAGGCCTAACACTTGTCCAGCACTACTTCTATACAAATATCTAAACCTAACCCTATGAGAAACACTAAAAACTCTCTAACCCTAGCTTAGCTCTAAACTTGCTCGAACCCTAGCAATAATCCTAGTAGTAACCCTAACTTTACAATAAGGCCAAGCCTAACCCTAATCCTAATCCTAACTCTACACCATTTTTATCTCTAACCTTTAACTCAACCTTGATCCTACCTTATCCTGAGATTTAATCCTTGCCTGTACCTAACCTCAACATCACACCTAGAATGGCCATAAACCTAAGATGCCTAACCCTAACAGTAAAACAAGCATTCACCTAAGACCTAACCCTAACCTAACCTTAACCCTAGTCTAAGAATAATGCTGCCATTAGCTCTAGCATTAACCCTATCACTAGACCTATCCCTAATCTGAGACTAGGCAAAACCCTAACCTTAACTTATCCTAACCCTAGTTCAAAGCCTAGTCCTATACTGAACCTATTCTAACCCAGAACTAGATTTCAACCTAGCCCTCACTCTTTATCTAAGCCTTGAGCAACCTTTAGCCATAAACCATGCAATAACCTTAACCTTAACCTTTGTCCTAGCCATAACCCTAAACCTAACTTTCACATTCACATAGCCCTAACCCAAACCTACCCTTAACACTAACCATAATCCCAACCTACTGCTAAACATAGGACTAAAGCGAGCCTTACCTTAATCCTAGCCACTCCTATAGCTATAGTCCTAGACCCAAACCTATCTCTAAACTTAACAGTACCCTTCTCTGTAATCCTAGTACTCATGTATTCCCTAGCCTAACACAACTACAACCCTAGTCCTGTTTTGAACTCTGACCAAACCCTAAGTATGTACCTGAATATAACCATAACCTTGGACTTAGTCACAGAGCTAACCCTAACCCTAATCCTAACCATAACACAAAGTCCAACCTAAATCCTAATCCTAAACCTAATGTTAGCAAAAGCCTTAGACCAATCCTTTACTTAACTTTGAGAAACTTCCTCCATTTACAAGAGTTTTTATTTTGGACCATCATTTAATATTGCTCATAATGCATTTATATTCTGTTGGAGAAAGAATGTACTTCCCTTCTAAAGCGAACCTTATCCCTAAACGGACACCTAAAAGTAAACTCCACCCTGGCCCAACCTTAAACCTAAACTGAACCCTAAACTTAGCCCTTGCCAAAGATAAAGCCTCTCCCCTCCCTTAACACTACTGCAAAGGATTTTTTCCTTTATATAGAAGAGTTAAGTTTTTTCATATTTTATTATATCATTATTGTACTAGGGGTACATTGTGACATTTTCAAAACTTCCTATAATAAGAATTTTGTTTGAATTCACCCCCTCCATCATATTCTTTATATTCACCCTCTTTGTTTTTGGAACAGTATGAACATGTGTCATATTTCCATTTACATACATGCGTATGTAATTTTCCACCATATTCACACACCTATACCCATAGAACAGTTTCTTATTTGGTAACAATGGTATCATTTTTCCTCATATTTTTCCTCATAAGGCAATTATATGATCCATTGGAAAGAAGCATGTAGTTGTTCTTCTAAAACCAACTTAAGTTTTAGAATGCTCTACACAACATTATATTCCAGGAACTCACTCTGTGCCTCATAAAACTTCCATCAATTTTAAATCAACATTATTTTGGAGCAACTTTCATTGTTGCTCATAATTTCCTAATTCAAATGTAGTCCAAATTTTGGACCTAACCCAAGCACTACCCCTATACATAAACATAAATCTAAACCTAACTAAACCCTAGCCATTGACTTAACGCTAACCA